GAAGGCCTACAACACCTTCTAGAATTAACACCAAAAATTGATGTCCTTACCATCATGGGGGATTGGAATGCTAAAGAAGGAAGCCAAAAAATAACCGGAGTAACAGGCAAGTTTGGCCTTGGAGTACAAAATGAAGCAGGGCAAAGGCTGGCAGAGTTTTGTCAAGAGAACATGGTGGTCATAGCAAACACTCTTTTCCAACAACCCAAGAGACGACTCTAAACATGGACATCACCAGACGGTCAGCACAGAAATCAGATAGACTATGTGCTCTGCAGCCAAAGATGGAGAAGCTCTATCCAGTCAGTAAAAACTAGACCAGGAGCTGAATGTGGCTCAAATTGTGAGCTTCTTGTTGCAAAATTTAGGCTTAAATTGAAAAAAGTAGGGAAAAGCACCAGGCCACTCAGGTATGTCCTAAATCATATCCCTGATGAATATACAGTAGAGGTGATTTAACTGATTTAAGGAATTAGATCTGATAGACAGAGTGCCTGAAGAACTATGGACGGAGGTTCGTAACATTGTACAAGAGGTAGCAACTAAAACCATCCCAAAGAAAAAGAAATGCAAGAACGCAAAATGGCTGTCTGAGGAAACTATACAAATAGCTGAGGAAAGAAGGGAAGTGAAAGGCAAGGGAGAAAGAGAAAGGTACACCCAACTGAACGCAGAATTCCAGAGAACAGCGAGAAGAGATAAGAAGGCCTTCTTAAATGAACAGTGCAAAGAAATAGAAGAAAACAATAGAATAGGGAGGACCAGAGATCTCTTCAAGAAAATTGGATATGTTTCATGCAAAGATGGCCATGATAAAGGACCAAAATGGCAGGGACCTAACAGAGGCAGAAGACATTAAGAAGAGGTGGCAAGATTACACAGAGGAACTATACAAGAAAGAGCTTAACATCCCTGATAACCATGATGGGGTGGTCACCGACCTCGAGCCAGACATCCTGGAATGTGAAGTCAAATGGGCCTTCGGAAGTCTGAGCAACAACAAAGCTAGTGGAGGTGACAGTATTCCAGCTGAGCTATTCAAAATCCTAAAAGGCAATGCAGTAAAAGTGCTACACTCGATATTCCAGCAAACTTGGAAAACTCAACAGTGGACACAGGATTGGAAAAGGTCAGTTTACATTCTGATCCCAAAGAAGGACAATGCCAAAGAATGTTCAAACTACCGCACCATTGCACTCATTTCACATGCTAGCAAAGTTATGCTCAAAATCCTACAAGCTAGGCTCCAGCAGTATGTGGACCGAGAACTACCAGAAGTACAGGCAGGATTTCGAAGAGGGAGAGGAACTAGAGGTCAAATTGCCAACATATGCTGGATCATGGAGAAAGCCAGGGAGTTCCAGAAAAACATCTACTTCTGCTTCATTGACTATGCTAAATCCTTTGATTGTGTGGATCACAACAAATGGTGGCAAGTTCTTAAAGAGATGGGAGTACCAGACCATCTTATTTGTCTCTTGAGAAACCTGTATGTGAGTCAAGAAGAAACAGTGAGAACTGGACATGGAACCACTGATTGGTTCCAAACTGAGAAAGGAGTTCGGCAAGGGTGTATACTGTCACCCTGCCTATTTAACTTACATGCAAAGCACATCATGAGAAAGGCGGGGCTAGATGAATCGCCAGTTGAAATTAAGATTGCTGGGAGAAATATCAATAACCTCAGCTACGCAGATGATACCACTCTAATGGCAGGAAGTGAAGAGGAACTAAAGAGCCTCTTGATGCGGGTGAAAGAGGAAACAGCAAAAGTTGGCTTGAAACTCAACATTAGGAAAACTAAGATCATGGCATCCGATCCTCTCACTTCCTGGCAAATAGATGCGGAAGAAATGGAGGTAGTGACAGATTTTATTTTCCTGGGCTTCAAGATCACCGCAGATGGGGACTGCAGCCAAGAAATTAAAAGACACTTGCTCCTGGGGAGGAAAACTATGGCAAATCCAGACAGCATACTAAAAAGCAGAGACATCACCTGCCAACAAAAGTGTGTATAGTCCAGGCTATGGTTTTCCCAGTTGCAATGTATGGCTGTGAAAGTTGGACCATAAGCAAGGCTAAGTGCTGAAGAATTGAGGCCTCTGAATTGTGGTGCTAGAGGAGACGCTTGGACAGCAAGGCAATCCAACCAGTCAGTCCTATTGGAGATCAACCCTGACTGCTCTTTGGAAGGCCAATACTGAAGATGGAACTCAAATACTTTGGCCACCTAATGAGAAGAAAGGACTCCCGGAGAAGAGCCTAATGCTGGGAACAATAGATTGCAAAAGAAGAAGGGGACAGCAGAGAAGGAGGTAGCTAGATGGAGTCACTGAAGCAGTTGGTATGAGCTTTGAGTGGACTCCGGGGGATAGTGGAGGACAGGAAGACCTGGAGGAATATTGTCCATGGGGTCATGATGGGTCGGACACAACTTCGCAACTAACAACAACAACAAAATACTAAACAATCTGGCCTGAAATTACCTGACTCCACTTTTTTAAAAGTCACTGTTATACTGGATACTTTTCAATCTGCTGGGATGGGGGTCAATTTTAAAGTAAGTTATGTATTTTTGTTAGAAGATATTTGAAAATTGCATCCTTGTAGAACTTTTGGGTGGATACTATTCAATTAGTTATGTTTTAATTTGTTGTTGAGCCATAAAATGGTTAAGAGGGCAAGCCTGGGACACAACTGATCTGTGTTCTAGTCCCCACTCAGCCATGGAGCCAACTGGATGAATTTGGGCCATTCACAGACTCTCAGCCCAACCTATATCACAGGGATGTTGATGTGAGGATGAGATTGAGAGCAGGTGAAGGAGAATGATGTAAGTTACTTTGAGTTCATTGTGAGAAAAAAGCAGGATATACATCTAATAAATAAATGGTTATCTCATCACACCTCTATTTGAATCAGTTATTTGGCTTCCTTACCTTGAAACAGTTAATTTCTGATCATAGTTCTCCATGGTTACATAAAGTTCAACACCAAGGACAGTTGCTATAGAGTGCAAAATTCAGGTTGCAATGCATGAGGAGCCCCACTGACATAGGAGCCACCAGCTTCCTCTGCTTACATCATTCTCAGTGAAGAAGCAAGCATATAATTCCAGCTTTTCTGCAATCTCCTTAGTCTTTTAGTATACATTTTATTCTTTGATCCCATGGTCTAATCCCTCCCTTTCCAGTTTCTTCTTGCTGACCTATACCCATACTCAGGAAGTATCTAAATTGTATTTCCCCAAGTTTCATTTACAGGGTAACATAGCAAAGGTAAGTGCCTCTTCACTGTTATATACAATTAATCTATGAAATGTTACAAGGAATAGCTATTCCAGCTGCTTTTAAAAAAGCCATAAAGATAACCCCACTAGTCATTATGAATGTAGGTATGATTTACAGGAGATGGATTCTTCCCATAATTGCTTTGTCACCTGTGCTTTTCTCCCAAGACAGCTGCTATAATCACCAGTGTTTTGCACTTGTATGCACAAAGTCCCCATGGAGGGAGACAAGAGACTGACTTTATTGATTATGTAGCTGTCCCATGAATTTTGGCTGCTTGCATTATTGTACTGTTCAAGTTCAGTTCTTACACAGTGGTTCTATTATATGTTTTACAGACTGCTACCCATGGGCTAAGTACTGCAGCATTAGATTTAAATAAGTTATAAAAGCCAGTATAGGACACATTATTACACCAAAAACATATTATTTATAAAAAATGGTTCCTGTATTTGACATGTAGATATTTAACAATGCATAAATAATTCACTGTAAGTTGCAAAACAGTTTAATAAAATAGGTGTTTCAGTCTACCCCAACAGATGTTACACAGCTACCATGCCTACTAATTCTTTACTAAGAGTATGCAAAAAATCAATTGCTGCTGTCGATGGCCCAACTGAAGTAGAAAGGCACATGCAGGGCATTTAATATTAAAAAGATAAACTGCATAACAAGAATATGTTTTCAGTATCATGTTTAACAGCTAGTGCTGTTAAAGACTATTTATTAGTGTGCTGAAGAGGCACCTCTCAGCAAAACTTCTAAAGAGAATTTGAAAGGCAGCAAGCCACTGATATTTTCTGACTGAGGAGTGGGGTGAACGAATTCATAGATTAAATTCAAGAGGAAAGTCAAACAAGAGAAAGGGATTTAATTAATAAATTACAGCAGAAGCAGCTTTCATTCTCTAATCTGAAAGAAGCATAAAACGGCTACTGCAGTGTCATCCCCAACAGTGCACACATAACACATTCTCTCTCACTCCATCTCTCTCACACAGACCCCAGAAAATGTTCATTAATCATGCAGTACTTTACAATGCGCAGAAGGCCTTCATCTCCTCCCTTGTCTCTCCTGTCAGCTCAGTATTATTAACTAAAAATTCTAAGTCTGCCTCGTGCATATTTTAATAGCTGTCATATTAATAACTTGCACATCTACAATAATTTCACAGTTCATATGAAAACAGGTCACAATCTACTAAGGCAAGACTCTTACACTTTTATCATCTTCAAATGGCAGACAAGTTTTTACCTAGTAATCCATCTTCTCTTGCAGTTACTTCTTACTTCAATCAAAATCAATGTTTCTATTAAACAATTATGTTTTTTAAATGCAAGTATGAAACCCTATGTTCTTTTCATGTAGAATATAGAATGTTAGGGTTAGAATCCAATATGATTATCTGTTGATCTGCAACCCCACCTTCTAATAAAGAGTTAATTTAAAGGTCACAAGCAGGCAGGCATGATGTGAAATCCCAGGCTTTTTCTCACCCTCCCATTGCTTGCTCCACAACCACAATACAGAAACACTAAATTAGAACAATGTTCAATTCTCAACTGATCTAGCTGCAATACGAGTCAGTCACTCTTGGCACATGACACACATAACAAGGACTCTGTGACTTGCCCTAATATACAGCTTCCCCTTTAAGGGACTTTTTATTTACTGATTTCTTATTACTCTTTGCATTGCAAATCGTACCTCAAGAATGTCTTCTAAAACATATGCTTCCATTTCAGCTGCTGTCTCCACCATGTTTTATAAAACTGCCATGATTCTTACTGCACTATGATTAGATCACTGCCAGTAGGAACACTCCTCTGTGTCAGCAAGGGAAGAGGAAATGGAATGTTCCATTAAATCCCACAAGCCCTTTACTGCTGGCAAACTAGGGATCTACCATGAGAGCAGGGGTAACTCAATGGATGTCCGTTTTAAAGATACAGCTGCTCTCCTCTGGAAACACACAAAACAAACGTAAGTGTATTCCAATCTGAATTTTAAATAAAGCCCTTTCAAAACAAACTTGTATTATCTACTTAAAATTGAATTGTAATGTTATCTGTTTCAAAACACAACATACTGCACACCAAATGATTTTTAATAAAATATTTGTAGCAAACTTCTGGTACCATTACAGCACAGAAAGACTCCTGTCGTCTAAAATATAATTTAAAGATTTCATATGCATCTTTTGGAAAAGTTTTGATTAACATTACCATCAGTTAATTTCTAAATTCCAGCAAGTTTCCCCTCTTGAGGTACTTTAAGGCTTAATGTAAGATGATCAACAACAATCAGAACCACAAAAAATTGCAAAGAACAGACTGAGAGCTATGCATGCTAAGGTTTAAATTTCTGTGTCCGGCCAATGTAAAATTGTTTGACATGAAAATCTACATTTCATTTTTTTTCTGGGTAAAGCTTGCATGATTATCTTGCTTATCGAGCTTCAGCTATTAGGCATTATAAAAATGAAATAAACAAATAAATATTGGTTTTTCTGGTCATGAGCCAAGTCAAGCTACTTTGCCAGACACTGAAATTATACCATACAGACACAGAAAACATATGCATGAACCTTTCTATCTTCTAAGATTCCAGAGAAATAAACACTGACCCACACCCCCACAATACATGGAATACCACATTCTGCATCAGCATATACATAACTACCATTCAAGGACAACTTTGGGGCCAGTATAGCACAGAGAAGTGAGTACACCCCTCACATTTTGTAAATATTTTATTATATCTTTTCATGTGACAACCCTGAAGAAATGACACTTTGCTACAATGTAAAGTAGTGAGCATACAGCTTATATAACAGTGTAGATTTGCTGTCCCCTCAAAATAACTCAACGCACAGCCATTAATGTCTAAACCGCTGGCAACAAAAGTGAGCACACCCCTAAGTGAAACTGTCCAAATTGGGCATTATTAGCCATTTTCCCTCCCCAGTGTTGTGACTCATTAGTGTTACAAGGTCTCAGGTGTGAATGGGGAGCAGGTGTGTTAAATTTGGTGTTATCACTCTCACTCTCTCATACTGGTCACTGGAAGTTCAACATGGCACCTCATGGCAAAGAACTCTCTGAGGAGCTGAAAAAAAAAGAACTGTTGCTCTACATAAAGATGGCCTAGGCTATTAAAAGATTGCCAAGACCCTGAGATTGAGCTGCAGCACTGTGGCCAAGACCATACAGCAGTTTAACAGGACAGGTTCCACTCAGAACAGGCCTTGCCATGGTCGACCGAAGAAGTTGAGTGCACATGCTCAGCGTCATATCCAGAAGTTGGCTTTGGGAAATAAATGTATGAGTGCTGCCAGCATTGCTGCAGAGGTTGAAGGGGTGGTGGGTCAGCCTGTCAGTGCTCAGACCATACACAGCACACTGCATCAAACTGGTCTGCAGGGCTGTCGTTCCAGAAGGAAGCCTCTTCTAAAGATGATGCACAAGAAAGCCCACAAACAGTTTGCTGAAGACAAGCAGACTAAGGACATGGATTACTGGAACCATGTCCTGTGGTCTGATGAGACCAAGATAAACTTATTTGGTTCAGATGGTGTCAAGCGTGTGTGGCGACAACCAGGTGAGGAGTACAAAGACAAGTGTGTCTTGCCTACAGTCCAGCATGGTGGTGGGAGTGTCATGGTCTGGGGCTGCATGAGTGCTGCCGGCACTGGGGAGCTACAGTTCATTGAGGGAACCTTGAATGCCAACATTGTACTGTGACATACTGAAGCAGAGCATGATCCCCTCCCTTCGGAGACTGGGCCACAGGGCAGTATTCCAACATGATAATGACCTCAAACACACCTCCAGGACTACCACTACCTTGCTAAAGAAGCTGAGGGTAAAGGTGATGGACTGGCCAAGCATGTCTCCAGACCTAAACCCTATCGAGCATCTGTGGGGCATCCTGAAACAGAAGGTGGAGGAGCGCAAGGTCTCTAACATCCACCAGCTCCGTGATGTCGTCATGGAGGAGTGGAAGAGGACTCCAGTGGCAACCTGTGAAGCTCTGGTGAACTCCATGCCCAAGAGGGTTAAGGCAGTGCTGGAAAATAATAGTGGCCACACAAAATATTGATACTTTGGGCCCAATTTGGACAGTTTCACTTAGGGGTATACTCACTTTTGTTGCCAGCAGTTTAGACATTAATGGCTGTGTGTTGAGTTATTTTGAGGGGATAGCAAATTTATACTGTTATACAAGCTGTATACTCACTACTTTACATTGTAGCAAAGTGTCATTTCTTCAGGGTTATCACATGAAAAGATATAATAAAATATTTATAAAATGTGAGGGGTGTATTCACTTCTGTGATATACTGTATATATCCAGAAAACCTTATTTAAGAAAAATTCCACAACGGAAATTACATTTCTATACTGCCCATAGCCAAAGCTCTCTGGGTGGTTTACAACATTAATTTGTAATTACTCAATATTGCAAACACAATAGCAGTGCAATGAAATCCACAAGGAAGCTCCCATTTTCCTTATAAGTGAAATACTTTATCACCATTTAATTAAAACCAGTGCAGTAATGGTCAGCAGATATACTTCTAGGGGCTGCAGCTGGTTCCTGGCCCATCACTTGGCCAGGTACTGAAAGTACCAGAATGGCTCACTTCTGTATATTAGGAACAAAGCTCAGTTCTTTCCCTTTTCAAAGACCATTTTTAGTGCTACTTCTATAAAAACACAACCGCTAAGAACTGTGCACAAACAGATTAAAGACCATTTCAATGCTAGTAAGGACAGTCAATGTGGTGTAGCAGTTAAGAGAAGATATGGTCCGTAAGTTCTTCTAATGCCCACTTCACACCAGGTAGGTGCGAGGAGGTTCTCTTTTGGCCAAAGCTGTTTACTTTGCAGTGATGGTATCCCATTTCTTAGGCAAACAAGATAACTGGCAAATTGGAGCAATGGTTATGTTTAGTTTATGCTACAATTTTAATTCATAGGAGTATGCCCACATAATTCTCCCTGGAAAAAAATAGTATGAGAATAATGATATATTCATTATCCCACCTTTTTTCCCTCCCAAGGAACTCAAGGCAACTTACATAATTTTCCTCCTCACAATCTTATCATCACAACAACTCTGTGAGGTAGGTTGGGCTGGCCCAAAGTCACCCAGTGAGTTCCATGGCTGAATGAGGACTAGAACCCAGATTTAATTATTCACATGAGCATGTACAAGTAGTATGCTATAGTGTCTCAGAATTCTGAAGCATATCTATACTTTGTTCATGAATAAGCATAGATATAAATACCGCTCACACTAGTTTTTAATAGAATAGCACCTCAGAGCAACACTGAATTTATTGTTCAGTTTGCAGATTAAGGTATCAGCTGTTCTGTCAGAGACACAGTGTCATAAATTAAATCAGTAATCTAAAAAGTATTAAAATCAAAAACTGTACCAAATTCATCCTCAGGGCCTCACTGGGGACAGCATTCTACCACTTTGATGCCATCCTTCAAACCTCCCTCAAGAAAAGCAGAGCAAGCCCTCCTATACTGATCATGGGATACTGGCAGATTCATATCTAGAGAAGTGCACCATTAGGTATTGTGGTCCTGAGTTCACTTAATAGGGTACAAGCTCAACAGGTTGTAACAGGCACCTTGAATTGGGCTTGGAAACATACAGGCAGCCTTAGCAAACAAGCCAGGATTGAAATTTTATGTTTTGACCCTCTGTGACGCAGTATTAATCCAGTCACTGTATTTAGCATTAGCAAAAGTTTCCAAACCAACTTCAAAGGCAGCCCCATATTTGCAACAGTGCGCATTTGCAACATCTATATACTGCCTTCCCACAAATGTCAGCAAGATGGCATACAATACTTCAAAAAATACTTTAAATGATAAACCAATCTTTTATATTAGAACTGCAATGAAACAACACCAAATTGCATTGCAAAAGTCTAACTATGATATACGTAAGGCAAGGGGGGGGGAGGTATTGATCCTGCCCAAGCCTTGCATCCCAAGGGGATAGAGGATGAAACCATCTGACAACAGCAGTTATGTTGTGTGAATGAACAGATGACCACTCAAAAAACTGTTACAGGTAATTAACCTGCCTTTCTTCTTCATGGTCTCTGTGCACGTAAGAGCAATTAACAAGCTTACCCTGCACAGAACAAAGGGAGCTGTCATCACTGGAGTACTAAGGAAAGCACTGCCCTGCTGAGGATGCAGTCCTGTCTTGCACAGACATCCAGCCCATAAAGTCTCAAGAAGGTCGATGGTGTGGACCATGTGGCAGCTTGCAAATATTATTTAGTAAAGCAACAGCTAGGAGGGCATGCTGTTATTAACAGCTATGACTTGGCCTGCATGTCCATGGAGTGTGCCCCTGGGCGTGTGGTGAGTTTCAGGCCCACCATCTCATATGCTAGGCAGTTGGTGCTGAACACCCATTTAGAGAGTCTCTGAGAGAAGATCAGCTCTCTCTTCTCTGGCCCTTGTGGCACACGAAGAGTCAGTCAGACTCTGCTCATTTCTCACCTTGTAGAATGCAAGGGACCTGCAGGAGTCAAGCAGGTACAGCATGGCTTCTATGAGAGTGGAGAGGTTGGAGAAGAAGGCTGGCAGGACTCTGTCCTGGTTGACATAGAATGCAGATGTGACTTTTGGTGTGAAGCAAGGCAGGGCAGAGTACTGCCTTATTCCTGCAGAAGGCCAAGTAGGATGCATCCACTCACAATGCTAAGAGTTTGCTGGTGTGGCATGCTGACATTATGCAACAAGGAAGGCCGTCTTCCATGACAGGAGCCATAGATTAGTGGTTGCCATAGGTTCAAAGGGACTCTTGGTGAGGAACTG